CTAGGGGTGCCCGAGCTAGAGCTCGCTGAGAGCTGAGAGGGGCCTCGGGGATCGTGAACGTTAACATCTTCTTGGACAGATGGGGGACTGAAGCCTTGGTGGCTGCAGGGACATTGTAGGCAGGCCTGAGGCATCTGCCCATTGCAGGCCTGGCTTCCAAGTAACCGTCCTGTTGGCCCCCACCCCAGTCTTTCCTTCACACTCAGAGTGCAGACAGTGATGTAGGGACAGACAGACTGTCTGGGCTGGTTTCCCGCTTCCACAATAACAAAATGGCTACTATCTTGCAGACTATCCTGCTGATATGGTGCCGTGGAGATGGCCACTTGAGTCTCGCCCTGCCCCCGTCTCCCAAAACCCTCATTATTTGGTAGCAGTAAGGGACATCAGCCAAGTCACTGGTCTCCTGCTGTGAGAGCAGTTTCAGGGGCCACCTTGGCCCATGTCCCAACCACCCCCTGCCTCAGCAGCTCCAGACAATGGGCAGCATGGCTGATACCAGGGGCACCACTTCTGCCCAGCATGTGGCTTCCCTGGCAAGCAAGGCTTTCCTCCACAGCTCCTTTTGAGCCAGCATGACATCAGGCCCGAGGTCTCTCACATTGAATATAAGCGTCACCACCAACGCCCCACATAAGCATCCCCCAAGACAGGGTCTGGCCTTCAGCTCCCTATGCACCCCAGGATGACCCTGAACTCCTCATCCTCCTCCCTTCATTTCCTGAGTTCTGTGAGGACAGGTGTTACCCCACCACAGTTTCTAATTCCAACTCTGATTCCAGCTCTGGGAAGGTTCACCTGACACCACAGGGTCAGAGGTTCAGACTCTGGTCAGACAACAGGCCCCTGTATTCATCCTGCTAAGATGGGGAGGGCCGCTGACCAGGAGAGGGTGTCACTGAACCCATCCCCAGAAAGCCAGGTGGTGCCATGATGAGAGGACTCAGGGTAGGGTGGATTGTGGGTAAGAAGCTTAGGAACCAAGTTGGCCCAGGCAGTGTGATCTTGGAAAAGGACCTTAGCCTCCCTGGAGCTTAATTGCTTTGCTTTGCCTGAAAATGAAGTCAGTCAGTCTCCACCCCCACCTTACCCCACTTCTCGCTTTAATGTCATTCTAGGAGTTAGTATATTAGTGACTCTTGGTAAACTGGTGGCTGCAGATAATGACTCTCAGGAAACTGGTGGCTACTGTAGTTACTATTTATTGTGCATAAAGGGTCGTGGCCCTCAGGCTTACTCCCATGCCAGAAGGCCACTTGCCTTTCTGGCATTCCCTCCCAGCCTGGCGCCTCAAGTGTGGGTATTGGGGTACCAGGGTACCTGGCAGGCAATCCTGGTGATGGTCACATGGTTCCCCCTCAGCTGGCGATGTCTCGTTACCATCATTGGTGAAGTGACTCCAGTGCTTCTCTGGGGACAAGGAAATTGGAGGTCAGATTCAGCACAAGACTTGGGTGTCACTGTGTCAATGGCTACTCCCACAGTGTGGCTGGGACAAGATTCTCTGTCTCTCTCTGCTTCGCTTTCTTCCCTAAGGCAGGTCACACAGCCCGTCTCCCTGTAAGAGACATGGGACCTGACTAGTGTGCAGAGAGCCTGGGAGACTGCTTGTCACAGTGAGTGCCAGGTCCAGCTTAGACCGATGCTCTCCAGCCCACTCTTGAACACCTGTGGGTCAGCCTGGACTCAACAAATGTCCTCCCTCAACAGAGGGGAGTCCCAACATGGGGTGGGGTGGCAGAGTGGACTTACCTTTCTTCTTTGCAGAGGGCCACGCCTCTGGCTTTAAGTCTTCATAGTCAGTCCAGTCAAATAAGGCCATGTCTAGTGTGGGCATCACGTCCCCATCAGACCTGGGCTGTGCCTGCAGAAGAAGAGGCAGGGAGGAGACCTGGGAATCTTCCAAGAGAAGATTCAGGGCAGTGGCAAGGGAAGCTGATCTACTTGTTGAGGAGTTAAAGGTCAGCGGGGGTGGGGGGGGAGGGGAGACGAGAGGTGGACCCACTGCTCATCTGTCTGTCCTTCCACTCAAGGTACTGTGAAGACCACATGCAGGCTTTGATCCCTCTCACAACACAGGCCCTCTCACAACACAGGCCCACTCACGACACCACTCACAACACCACTCACAACACCACTCACAACACAGGCCCACTCACAACCCTGACCAATATCCTGGAAACTACTGAGGACTAGATACCATGACTGGATCCTCCTCAGGCACATGGTCACCAGGGTTCAGCAAGGCACAGACTGTAACTACCTGCTCATGGCCACAGCTTTTGCCAGACTCTCAGGAGTACGAGATGAAGAAAAGGACAAAGGAAATCTACCGCCATCTCCTAATGCTCAGGAGATGTAGTTCAACCTGCCAGTGACGCCTGGCAGAGCTAAACCCTGTTTGTACGCTGTTTTCACAGATACACACACACACCACACACACACCCACCCCACACACACACACACCCCACACACACACACACACACACACACACACACACACACACACACACACACACACACACCTTACAAGTCTAATTTACAAATGAGGCACAATCAATCAAGGCTGGAGAAATGGCTCAGCGGTTAAGAGTGCAGAGGACCTGAGTTCAGTTCCCAGTACCTACATCAGGTATTTAACAGGTGCCTATAACTCCAGCTCCAAGGTATCCCTTGACTCTGGCCTCCAAAGGGATTAAAGCATAAAAATAAATCTAAATGACTGAGGGGGGAGGTCTGCTTGCCACCTGGGACCATGGCAATGTCTGGATCAGGCGGCTACCAAGGTCCTTGTGTGGGGA